CTTGCATGTTGCGCTGGCAACTCGTGCAGAGGAACTTGCGCAGAGCACTTACACGGAACAACTTGCGCAAGGCACTTGCGCAGAGCACTTGCAAAGAACAAGTTTCAAAAGAGAACGCACCTTTGCACACAGAATTTGCGAGGGGCAAATTGCATAGATAAAACTTGCGCAGAGCGCACGCAGAGATCGACGTGCCGACTTGCGCAGAGCAACTTGCGCAGAACACAAGGTCACAGACTGTGCCGCAACAACGCGAAGCGCTTAGCACAGAGCGCCTACACTAAACACGTTGGCCACAAATCGTAGGATGGGCTGCTTTCGGGTCAATCGTCCTCTAGTTCAAGCAGCCCCCCCCAAAACAAAAAAACAACAACACGAAAACAAATACGCGTGAGACACTTGGCGTGCCAGTCGGGCCAGCGCGAGAGAGTCGCATTGCCCAGGCTGAAGCCACCATGGAGCCAGATGTCATAGCTTGGAACACTGGCATCAGTGCCTGTGAGAAGGCAAGCAGAACATGGTGCAGAACATGGGAGAGCACAGGGCAGTTTGAAGGGCTTCATGGATGGTGCTGTGGCGAATTGGTGTGGGCGGGGGTCATCTAACGAGGTGGGTCAATGGACCTTGGCGTTGGACCTGCTGAGGCGGCTGAGGCGCATAAGCTGGGAGTTCAGCGCGAGGGTTGCTCGATGTTGGCTGATAACTTGGTTTCATCCTTCTTTCAGCCTTTGCCATTTGCAGTGGTTGAGTCGCGGGGCAGGTCATGACCACCCGTTTGCCTGCTTGCCACAGGCGACGCCTCACACCGCAGGCCCACCGGCAGGGAGGCGCTGAGCATGGCATCGCTGGAGTCGCAGGTGGCTTCCTTTAATGCAGCAGCAGCGGCCTGCGCCCGCGCCTTGCAGTGGGAGATGTCCTTGTGGCAGCCGGGCTGCAGCGATGCCAAGCGCAAAAACCGGTTGGGGGGTCTGAAGCAAAATGAGGTGCCCTTCGCGTCGGGCGTTCGCCATGTGTTTGCTGCCGCCGTTGGCCCAGGCTGATTTTCGTGGAGATGCGACGTGACCAGGCCGGCCAGGGGGTGCAGCCGCAAACGAGCTCGTTAGAGTCCCGGAATTGAAGGCAAGGCTTCGTCCCACAGTGGTGTCTTTCAACGTGGCGCTGACCGCCTGCGTGCCTCGCCGGACATGGCGCCAAACGATTTTGTAAGTTGGGCTGCAATGATCTAGCACTGTGGTTGCTTCTCCGTTGTCGGGCAGGGGAGGCCTCAATCACTAGAAAGCCGTCAGCCAAGTTTCAAATTTGTGGGCGCTGCTGAGGAGCGTGGCCAAAGATGGGTCCGGTGCTCGGCAAGGCGCGCGGTCTCGCTTTTGGGAGCGTTGCTTCAGGCTGATGCCCTCGCCCTGCTGGAGGCAGCGCATTGCAATGGCCTTTCGCAGTTTGTGATTGCCTCGTGTACTTGGGCTAATGACAAGATGGTTCGATGGTTCTCCCTCTGTCAGAGTGGGATGTTCACTTTGATTTTCCAACTTCCAGCTCCCTGCCCGGCCCCCGGAGAATGGGCCAATGTGGGCGGATCAATCAGAGGCCATGCCGCGGCGGAAGGTGGCGCCCAGCGCCGCCAGCTGTGGCGCGGTGGCGGCGGCGCTGGAGAAGGCGGCGCAGGGGCGCAGGGCGCTGGCGCTGCTAAAAAGGACGGGGACTAAACTGTGAATTGGTTTTAGTGCGACAGCCTATCGGAGGAATGGGGTTGGATAGTCTTTCTACATGAAACCAAAGGGAAACCACATGATGTGAACATTGAGAGGCGGCTGCTCTTGGGATTTAGCTGTTCCTCGCAGGATGCAGCAGCTGGCTGCCCACCTGCATTTATTTTTGTTAGCGGGTACGCAGTGTGCTTGAACCAATGCCCGAGGCGCTTCGAGCAAATGCGACTTGCTTGCACGTTTCATGCCATGCTTTTGTTGCCGACTGGGCTGGTGAAAGCCATCCTGAATGCTGGGCGAGGTGACAGGAAGCATGCTGGTATATGCTTATCATTCAAGATCGTCATTTGCCCATCATACCGCACAGTCCCGCGAAGGCAGTTGTCTTGAACTCCGTCATCACTGCATGTGAGTGGCTTGCTTGGCAAATCAGGGTGTCACGTTCGCCACCTCTAGCCACGCAATAGTGACGGTGATACCCTTAGGCACCAACACTTTGATTTGTACATGGCAGGATCCTCGGTTCCTTAGACCTTTTGGAAACTATCAGGTGTTCCGTCGAGTGTCCAAAAGGTCCATTTTTTCGCTCAGGCGACAACACGCACTCTGCAAGAGTAGAAGCGTGGGAGTGCAAATGGAGGGAACCTTGATTGTCCCATGTCCAACTGGATAGACGTTCTTGGGGTTATGGACGTGGAATTTGGACAATTATTGTAAGGGTTCCATGCATCTTGCCCAAGGAAGCAAGTGCTGTGGCAGCAGGCGCTGCGGCTGCTCAATGCTTCCCTTGCATCCTTGGAGGAGGAGGGGGGCGCTCAAGTGCAGGCAGGTCCTTGTCCTGAGCAACACGATCAGTCATGGTCACCTGAGGTCCAAGGCACTGTCACCTGTGGAGGCTTGCCTGAAAATGTTTGTTTTAATTTGTTTATGTGTTTGGTCCATTGGTTCGGAGATTCAGATCAGCTGCCGAGGTGCGGCCATTCAAGCTTGCCAGCGTGCGCTGCAATGGCAGTGGGCACTTCATCTTTCCTCTGATTCGCAGGCGGTTGTATGGCTTGCGCGGATCCTGCCTTTAACACGGGAGCGAAAGAGCCCTTGAACACGTAGGCCTCTGATGCGATTTGCCTCGCTTCGGTGGCGGCCGCCTGCAACTCGGCTGCCGGCTTCAGGCCCGTAACCAGGAAGGCCGGGCGGGTGAGAGCCTTCCCTGAGGTGCTCGCGCGCGGAAGTGGCGCAGTGCTGTGCTGCAAACTGCACGGCTCATGCAGGCCAGGAGTCAATTGCATCAGATGTGTTTCCGAGATACGTTTCCACGGATGCAGTTTCACTAACATGCAAACTTCTGGTTTTGCAGATGCTTTTGACATGTTGCTTCTGCAGATGGGCCCTCGTGCCCTGCCTGCCAGCACTTCGCTGGCGGCTACAGGGACGGCTATTCAAGCCGAACACCTGAAGTGCTTACCCTTTGGCCATGGAGGCTGGAAAGTGCTTAGTACTACATATTGAATCCCAGCTGGATGAAAGAAGCACACATGCGTTTGGGACGGGGGGGGGGTGGTCTGGAGGGTGGGGGGGTCTGGGCCTCAACGGGTATGTTGACAAAATGCGCATTGCATCAGTGGAGCAGCAGTGACAAGTGCAGATGACAGAACTCACTTCTTTGAGGCGGTATCAGTTTTTTGTTAGTGGATATGTGCAGGGTCACCCAAAGGGCGTAGCCGTTGTTGGCCATGGCTTTTTGGTCGCGAAGCTTTGCGTGGATTGTATGTTGAACTCCGAGCTCGGTTTTGCAACGCTGGCAACTCTGAAGCCATGCTTTGCAAGATGGAGCCTGCGCCACACTGTCGCGACCTGGCGGGGTGCTGTCGTGGGTGTTTTGACCGCGCGCTCAATCTGTTGCACAAATCGAATGCGATAGTTGCCCGTTGGCGGCAGGCTTTGCGCACTCTGTTTGCCTTGCATTGTATCAGCTGATGCTCTTCGAGATTGATGGGACCTCACTTGATACTTGTCGGAAGGCCATTCTAGTGGCAAACAACAAGTTTGGACGAATGTCTGGCCAATCCAGCTAGAAAGGGTCATAGGACTGTCGTTTTGTTTTTTGCATAGGCAACTGTGGGCACGCCTCGAGGGAGGTCAAGGCTTTCCATTGCTTGCCGAACTGGCTTGCAGGTGACCGTGATGAGTGGTGGGAAGTGCGGAAGAGCCTGGAGGGCATCCAGCTGCCAGCTCAGGAGGCCTGTGGCGAGGACATGTTGGTGAGTGAGCGCAAAACTGCAGGAGTCAAGGAGTCCAATGCTTCAAGGTCGCTCCTTTGCTACTTTGGGGTGCCGGGGTGTTAGAACTGAGTGGGCTGCTGTGACCCAGTTTTATGCGGGTGCAGGCCTTGCCAGTGCGCCGGGCGCGCGCCTGCTGGGCTGCGGAATCGGCGCGCGAGCCAGGGACGCTTCTTGCAAGGGCCTAAGGATGCCTCAAGGTTCGAAAAAAGTGGACGCTTTCAGTGGGTTTCCTTTCGAACCTCGCAAGCAGGCACGCCAAATACAACATTTTGAAGCAAACCATTTGATGAGTGTGCATACGTAGTCTTGGGAGAAGTGGAGGCTGACCATATCTTGTTTGCCTTCGATTTGTCGGAAACCGCCCCAGCTCTTCCAGTTTGATACTGGATCGTCATTCCTGGAGATGCCAAATCGAGTGGCTGTGGCAAGCTGACGCCTGGCGCGGGTTTTACATTCTCGCCCCATGGCGCCCAGGCGCGGAGCATGCTGGAGAAAGACCTTGGCCCCAGACGCGATGTCCAAAAGAGCGCTGCGATTGTTTCCGCTCAGGTCTTCAAGGCCGCGAGGCTTTAGGCATAGGTGGCCTCAAGTTCATGACGCAAGCATGAAGGCTTGAGCGCGGACTGCCTGGCCGGTCTCACAAAGGGCAAGGGTTCCGTAGCGGGGGAAGCTTCACTTGTTTGAAGCGTCTCCGGGGGATATCCCAGCTGGCTATGGCTGTACGTACCGAGAGGTCTAAAAATGTCCATTGCCCAAGAGATGCAGCTGATTGGAACACCCTCGCTAATGGTTTGGGCACCCTTTTCCCTTTCCCTGGATGTATCTCAAATAGCGCATGTCCACTTGATCTATTAAATGCATACACGGAACCCGAAATACTTCTTTTCTTAGAAGGACAAGTTCTTTCCAAGTTATGCCTTTTTCGCATGGAGGGCAGGGGATCATGCATGCCCCAAGTTTTCTCCACCAAGCAGTCCATCTCCACTTGGAAATCATCTCCGCTGCTCACTGGCCATAGGTCCACGGTAGCGCAGCTCGCCCGACGCACCTGGCCAGAGGCGGCAGAGCGGCTGATCACCGGCGAGGCACGGCTGTGTTGATGGGTGCGTTGGAGTAGGGGGACGTCTTGGTTTTCCTTTAGACTAACTTGAAAGGCTACCCTATGAAAAAACTGGCCAACATGCATCCAAGTGCCTGGTTTCATGGGGGTACAAAAACGGCGATATCAAGAGTATACCCATGTCTTTAGAAGAAACATGGCAACTGATGAACCTTGATCCTGAGAGCTGGCCTCGAAGAGGCTTTGCCTCAGAGTGGGTGACAAGATTGTAGGCGCATGTAGGCGCAATTGTCCCATCAGAATCTGGAAAATGGGTCAGTGGAGGGTGTTGATTGCGACCTTGCTCGTTCACAAGGGGGGGGGCCCTTCATGCCATAGCAATTCGCAACATGGAGAGAGAATTGACTTAGCTTCCGCGCTCAAAGGTTCAATTTGATCTAGCAGACATTTGCTTTCTTGCTCAGAAAGTTTATCCAGGGATATATACGTGCACCATGTATACGACAGGCTGAGGGCGGCGTTGCAGAGAGAGAGAGAGAGAAAGAGATGCAGATTTGTCAATGACCCAGGAACTTATAGATGATTGGACCGCATTCAGAACAGTGGGGCCAGCAAGTTGGGGACCTTTCCTCAAGAGCAGATTGGGCGACAATGTGCTCATGTCTCTGGATTTGCTAGACAGCGATCAGCTCAGACACCCCGCTGAAGGAGTGCATAATAAAAACGCGCTCCACCAATACCACTTGAAGAGAACTGCGAACGTTTGTCTTTACCGACCTGCTCACAGTTTCATTCAGAGCGAGCTCACCAGCGAGAGAGATTGGTCAGTGCAATGCCGCTGAGGAAGACGCAGTATCATGTTTTTTCACCATCGCGAGAACGACAATCCAAGACCCAACCTTCGAGCAGGTGGAAGAACAATGCAGAATGTTTTCTACATCCTTGAGCCGTGGTGAATAGAAAGGAGAAGATGATTGCTGGGTTGGGAACGCAGAGGTATTTCCAAAAAATCATGGCGCGTCACGCGCAGCAAGGCTTTGGCTTTGACCACGCCAACCGCAGCGAAAGATTGCACAGTCAATCCTGATAAGGAAGCGTGCCAATGCAAGGAAAACCATCTTCACTTTTGCGGACAGGCCGCTCCAGGACAGAAGATTCATCAGGATCAGCAGCGGACAGGACAGTTGACAAGAAGGGCCTGGCGGCCAATGAGCCAACGTTGTTGCTGGCCTCTCAGAGATGCAAAATCCACACTTCCGCTTGCCTTAGACAGGATCAAAAAGCGAGAATTGAGGAAGGTTTGCCGGGTACAGAAATGAAACTGAGCCTTACATGTCCGTTCGGCGTTATGACTATTTTTCATCACTGGCAGGTTACTCTCGGAGGCGGAGAACTGTCATCGTGCCCTTAATTTACATCACACAGATCTCTTGGACCAACGCGTTGTGGCCGAATAGAGCGACAGAGCTCAAGGGTCCCAAGCAAGGCAACGCAGCTGACTACCGGCAAGACTGGTGTGGAACTGTCAGCAGAGCAGGTCAAGTAACTTGCAAAAACATTTTTCCTGAGCTCGAAGCCTCTCCCTGTTGGTGACAAGGTATTCTATTGGAAAGAGGGCAAATCCAAGATTCAGAGCACGCGCTGGAATTGCACAAGAACGTGCAAGACTCAGCCAGCACTTCAGGGCGCTTAAGCCTTGCAGTGAAGCTTACGCTGATGGAAGAAGACTTCTGCCCAGCGTTCCTCACCGGGACCGCACGAGCTTCAGCAGCATCACCGCCACCAACAAAAGCACCAGCCCCGCAGTTAGACCAGGGGGTAAGAAGGGACGTTTGCGTTTGAGTACTGAAGGCGTCTCTCCGCGCTTCAAGCAGGTCGAGGTTTTTCCCTATTTCAACTCATTGATGCCCAGGGCTCCTCTTGTATTTAGCGAGCCGTCCGGCCTCTTCTTTGGGCCAGTTGCGCTCAAGCCAAGCCTCTCTCAGCGCATTCAACCTCCAGGCTCTCCGCAATCCTCTCGCTGGCCCTTTCATCAGCAAGTGTGTCAGCGAAGGAGTTTGCCCGTTTGGGCAAGCAACGTGTCTCTTGCTGTAGCATTTTCTTCGACAGCAGCGGCTGCAACGCAACCAGCCAGCGCCAACCAGATCCTCGCTTCGCAGCAGCGTAGCCAACCTCTTGAAACAAGCCCAGTTTGTGCAACAACATCCAAGCAATTGTGTGACACATGATGCAGAGGTCGACTCAGCCCCGCAAAAGGGCAAACCTGGTGCCGAGAGTTGCGAAGCGCCCTGCCGCAAAACTTCCGCCAGAGTTTGCCCAGCAGGTGCTGAACATCGAGGCCGTCGTCACGCCCTCCACCGTTAGGCTGCTGCGCCGTTTTGCGTCCTTGCTTCAACGCATTGCAGGAAGACTTGCTTCTTGCCACGCAGCCTTTGGCCAGAACAATGTCAACCAAGCAGCAGACTGTTCAGTGGAATCAATCGTCTTCGCTTGTCTGGGGCATGGCCCTCAAATGGGTTCTTGGGTTCTGGAACACGAGCCAGCGCCTGCAGACATGCTGGTGCTTCCCTCTGCAGCAGTAGCCTAGTCTCGCCTTTCTTCAGCCGCTATGGGTTGCAACCCGCCTCGTTCTACCAAAGGACTCAATCCCTAAGTCTTTGATCGTGCCTCTCAAAGCCTTAATTAAGCGAGCCAGACTAGCAGGTGTATCCTTACCGGTTTTGCCTCATATCCTATTGCGCCGCTTGCAGGCGAAACCACTTCACCATGACGTGTTTCTTCTCGACGAATCCTCGGCGCCCCTTCACCACACAAGCAGTGTCAAGCACTTGGAGCACAATTTGATCACTGAACTCCATCAACTTGGGGGGGGGGGCCGACTAACCCGACACGGGGCACGAAGAACAGTGTTGATGCCCTGCGCAGAAACATGACTGAATCCCTGAAGGCCCCAACAACAACATCAGCCCGTATCGGGAAGAAGAGAAAACGCCACCGCGTCAGAGATTAGGGGCGTCAGTCATGGTTGGACAATGAAGTTTCGACCTTGTGGGCGTCAGAATGCATGTGCAGCACTTTGGACATGTGAGTGCTGGATTTCGTGGCAGGGGCAGCGTTTGAAATGTTGCTAAAGGGGCTGGATGTTGTCGCACCCGCTCGTGTGCGCACGTGGCTTCCGCCGTTCATGGTTTCGTTAAGCTAGGCATGTGGGGTTGTGTGGCCCTTGATTCTGCCTTTGCACGCGCGCTGATCTCCACGCGATCCTCGGCCCGAGGCCCTTTTTCCAAAAGTCACGTCAGCGTAAAGAGGAACTAGCCTTAGCTGCCGGCGCTCAGACATTCATTAAATCAATCCCAAGTCCTCGCTTCCTCAACCATCACAAACAATTGTCGGTCCACCAAAAAGGGGGGTTGGTTCCATTCAAGGGCATACCTATGAAGAGGATTTGTCAAAAGCAAGCTAGTGACAGGGCAGCGCTGGCACTTTTGGAAACGGCCGGCTTCCGCCCCGTCCTCTACAAAGTCGTGTTCGGGGGCACCTTGTTGAAGCTAGAAGGGATGGCAGCACTTTCTGCTTGTTGTCCCTTGAAATTGGACCCCTCCCCCTGGATTTGTTTTTGGGGCCACCCAGTTCGTGCATCAAACTCCTCCCCCAAGAATCAAGATTTGGTAGTGCCTGGTCTTCGGGGGGAGCGAAGGCTGTTTTGACAATCTCCGAGCCAGGCTGAAGCTTCGGCAGTTGAGGCAGGATCAGATCTTAGTTGGTTGCCAGGGTCCTGGCATTGACTAGAAGTCTGAATGCAAACACTGAAGTTGACGGAGCGGATGCAGCGGCAGGCTTGCCATTCCCAGACCCATGTGGTTTCCTGGCCCTTTGCCGCTTAGCGTGTCGCCAGGCCTTTTCTGGTGGTGAGGAGGGTCCTGGATCCATGGCCCAGCACTAGGTTCGACGCAATGCGAATTGGGGCAGAGCTGGCAGCCTTCAGGGGAGGCATGTGGCATCTTTTAGAACCCCCATCCCCACATAGACAAATTGCTTGGGCTTCGGGGCCAACCCCTGAGGTCAGATCCTTGGCGTTCCAGGGCTGCCTGGCCGATGGCACTTTGCTTGCGCGGACCCTGGCTCTTGTTTGTCGGCTGCTACTTGTCCCAAGCGGGCGGAGCTGTCAGCAAAAGACCTTGTGTGGGGGAGGGGCGTGTGCAACTTGGTCGCCATGCGCAAACAACCACATGGTTCCCGGTCGCATGAGCACGCATGAGTGCAGGTCCTACGACTCCATCAATGGCTTGCTCCTCAGACTCAGTTTTGCTCCTTTGGCCGTGGTTTTGCCGCAGCCAAACTGTAATATTGGGAATTCAGCTCTTTCGGCTGCTGGCTTCTTTCGCAAGCGCCATGGGCAACGCCTTCTTCCAGAGTTGCTGTCATAAGCATGCCTCACTGCACATCGTCGACAAGGCCGGGCAACGAGGAAAGATCGGGTCGGCTTTGTTCTTGCCTTTTGCCTGCTGCGGGCCCTTCGAGTTAATAGAGGGAACCTTTGTGAAGGGAAACGCGGGAAACCCAAGAAAAATGTGTTCATTTTATGTTCTGGGGGGGCTCCTCCATTTCACGGCACGCCCAGTTGATGAACCTGGTGATTGGCCGCTCTTTGCAGCTGGACGAGCTGGCGAAAGCCAAGGGGGAGGAGTCCGTGAAGAAGTTGCAGAAGTGTAGGGAGGTCTGGCTGAGCCGCTGCCAAGTTTGGACTTGTCACGAGCTCACCCGGGGTAAAACGAGCTCACCCGTGATGAAGGTCGATAACTTGGGATTCCTTGTTTCCGATTTATGAATTGCAGCGATGCCCCTAGTTTTCTTGTTTGCTGTCGAGCGAACCTTGGCAGGGTCAACCTGGTGAAACCCTTTGGGTGGTGGTGTTGCAAACAGCAAGTTAGGATCCATAATTCGATAATTCTGAGTGGCCCAGAATCATGTCCATATTATAATACGCATAGCGTATTTGGTCGTGTCACACGTCTTGTTTGGAACGGTCCCGCATTTGTACTTGTGGATTGCCCGGGAGGCCCTTGCGCAGATGAGCGATTACTCCACCCAGGTCAAGGACCGGCCGGGCTAAACATGACGCAACCCTCGGGGATAAGAAAGGGTTGAAAGGTTCAAAGAAGTTCAAAGACAACTTCAAAGCGTTCAAAGAGCGGACAGAACATGCTTCAGTAACTTCAGGTTGGCCCAGCGAGGACCGATGGACTCCCCACGAGCGCCAGCTGCTGCGCCTCTACGGCGAGGGTGGGCCGGTGGAGGTCACCATCCACGTGCCAAAAGAGGCCAGCAGCGAAGACGAATGTTACAAACCCCAGAGAGAGTACTAGCAACCGTTAACCCAAAACAAGAGACCAACAGATACCAGAAAAGTTGAATGTGGCATCCAGGCGGCCGGAAACTCCCGGAACGCTGAGTGGCCTCTGGTGGTCTATGCTCACGGGGGTGGAATGATGCTGGGCAGCAGACACGACTCCTTCGGAGCGCGGCTGCTGAACGAAGCTTGGGCAGCTCGGCCAAGCAGCATGTACAGAGACACACACACATGTAAGTGTGTGTGTGTGAGTGAGTGAGTGTAAGTGTGCAAGTGTGTGTGTGTGTGCAAGTGTAAGTGCAATTGCGTGAGTGTGTGTGTGTGTGTGTGAATGTGTAAGTGTGTGTGTGTGTGTAAGTGTAAGTGTAAGTGTTCAAGTGTAAGTCTAAGTGCGTATGTGCATGTGTGTAAGTGTAAGTATAAGTGTTAGGGTAGGTGTACGTGTGTGTTTGTGTGTGTGCGCGTGTGTGCGTGTGTGCGTGCGTAAGGGTAAGTGTAAGTGTAAGCGTACGTTTACGTGTAAGTGCAAGTGTAAGTGTACGTGTAAGCGCGTGTAAATATGTAAGTGTATGTGTAAGTTGTAAGTGTATCAGTGTATGTGTGTTTGTTTCTTTCTTTTCTTGCCTGCTTAGCTTGCTTGCTTGCTTGCTTGCTTGCTTGCTTTCTTGCTTGCTTGCTTGCTTGCTTGCTTGCTTGCTTGCTTGCTTGCTTGCTTGCTTGTTTTTAAACACACAACATATCCCTACATGCCTATGTAATGCGCACCTAAATGTATGCATCATGTAACCTAGTCCTTGTTGTCATTTACTGTAAGCCTTTCGTTGTGCTGACCTCATGGTGCTTGCTTGCACTGACAGCCCTGAGGAGAAGTGCGGCCCCTTCTGCTGGGCTTCTGTGGAATATCGCCTCGTTCCGGAGCACCAGTTCCCTAGTAACGTGGATGATTTGGTGAGTGCATGCCGCTCGCTGTCAGAGAAGGCTTTGGCGGAAGAGTTCAACTACAGCCCCTCAAAGATGTGCATGCTGGGCGTGTCTGCTGGTGGCTTTGTGGCCGGCCATGCCCTGCTGCACCACCCATGCCCTTGCGCCCTGCTCTACCCCATGGTGGATCCCAGCATGGGAGGCGCCTCGCATCGGCTCTATGGGGACTTGCCGGGCTGCCCCAGCGAGTGGCTGCGCCTGGCTTGGGACTGGCTGGGGGCCGAGAGGGCCAGTCTGCTGGAAGCCGACTTCTCCCCCCTGCAGAACTCCCAGCTGCTTTTGCTCCTTGGTAGTTGCGACCCCCTGCGCGATGAGGGGAGGGAATTATCCAAGAGGCTGCTGAGAACAGGGGTGGCCGTCACAACCATAGAAGCGCAAGGTTCCCATGCCATGGCGCACCTTGTGGACCGCAAGAGCCGAGAGGACCTTTTCGAATCTTTCAAGCAGCTGTTGCCGATGTAGCATCATAGCCTTCCTGAGCAGCGGCTGCTGTTGGCGGCCTGCCATCAGAATCACAAACACCCTGAGCATGTGCATCCTGATTGGGGGCGTAATGCAGGCCCTCACAGTCGCAGCAGTTGCAGCGTGCACATGTGTTACACCTGCGGCCCTCGCAGCGGGGCAGATTCTTTGCTTTGCTATTTTTCCCGACATAATGTTGCTTTCCACGGTTTTCCGCGCAATGGCGCGATGCCGCAAAATCGCGGCCAGGAATTGTGGCAAATCGATGGGGTGGGGGAGGGGTGGGGGGATTGTGCGCGGCAGCAATCGAGAGCAGCACCTGGAGAGTTTGCGCGCAAGGTGGAACCATGTCTTGACAACACCTCCAGCTGCTTCGGACTCAGGTAAGGTGGCGCCGGGCACTGGCACTGGGGGGGGGAGTGGGCGGGTGTAGCACTTATTCGCCGGGTGAAAGGTTGCGACTCCATCCAAGAAGAAGACTGACGCAGGCTGGCACGAGCTGAGAGAAACTTGCAGTGTTGCCTTGCTCTGACTCGTCATGAGATGTGAGTGGCCACCTGTCGCCGAAAGGCTGCCAATGCTTGGTCAAGCTGGAGGACTCTTGGCACCTCTTAGTGAAATCTGCATAGAAGCCAGTGCTGCCGCAGACAGATAATTCTTGATGTGGACTGTTTCGCAGGTGGGAGGGTGGAGGGAGGTTGGCGCTCAAGTCGTTCCATGCTGATCCATTGTTTGCTCAAGATGAGTCGCGTGTGTAAGACAGGTTGTTTATGTCGCTGAGCACGCGGAAGATTTGAGAGCTGAACCCAGGTGGCAGCCTGGGAAGCTATAAAGAAGACCATGTGCGGCAGGACACAGAGGAGTCGCTTCGCCGACGAGCTCTGCAGCTTTGCTTGGACCCTGGCGACTCCGTGGGCTTTCTCAGGTGAAATCCTGCATTCCATGAGGCCAGTTGGTCATGGAACTGGACGGCCGAATCTCGGACAGGTCCGCGATGCGCCTCTTCCAGCTTCGGGGGCTTTCTGCATTGCCTGTTCTCTTCTCTCTTTCTTCTTCTTTTTTTTCTTCTTTTTTTTTTGGGGGGGGGAAGGGGTCAGGAAGGACGAAAGAGGCACAGATGCACGAGGCTTGCTGGCTTCCTTGGGGCAAGTGCGGCACAGGCAGAAGAATGCCATTTGCAGTCTGCCGCTGCCGGTCTCCCAGACTTCTTTATGCCCTCATAGTGAGCCTCATGCTGAGAGGGTCAGAGTCGTCAGAGTCACAGAGGGAATGTTATCCTTGTGGCACGGGAGCTCGTTGATGATTTAAAAGAGGACTATGCAACAAGGTGCGCATGTCGCGTCCTGTTCCGCCTGCCACTGACAGCACAAGCCTGACTTTGGGGCGACCTCTCCGCTGCGCTGTGGGCAGGAGGCAGCTGATGAGCCACGGATGGCAACTGATGCCCTCGATTTCCCTTCAAACGCTGTTGACCTCTAAGCCGTGCTCTTCTGAGGTTTCATTGACCAGGCAAACCACAGGGAAAACTACACTTTTCGTGGGTTCCGAGCTCCTTGATTTGAGACAGAGGCCCACCATGGCTCATCGCCAGGGTCGCCATGGTGTTCTTCACGGTCTTCGCCACCATCGACTCCCTGACGCTGCTCTTCGCCATGACCGGCTTGCTGGGCGCCAGTGCCTGGTCACTGAAGGCCATTGCAGACTTGGAGTACGACCTGGCCTCAGCTTTGGGGCATTTGAACGAATGGGAGGCCAGCTTCAAAAGCCCTCGGTTGCCGCCCTGGTTGATTCATAGGGGGCTTGGAGGGTGTGAGTGGGGTCCGTTTTCAAGTAAAGTTCAGGGTCAGGCCATCTTGTGAGAAGTAGCAAAGAAAGCCTAGGAACGAGAGACAATGAACTGTCACCTGCCGGTGTGTGTGTGTGTGCAGTGGCTGGGAAGGCACAAGGGAGCATGCGGCCGAGTCGGTAGCCATGTCCTGCAAGGACTTGATCAACTCGGTGGACTTTTTCAGTCGCTTCAATCAAGCTCACAGGAGGGCTGAGAGTGCATGGTTTCTTGGTGAAGTTGGCACGTGCGGCTGCAGAGCATCTTGTCACCAGAGATGCGCGCATGCAGATATGTATATCACACACATCTAGAGTACACATGTGCATGTTCGTTCATGCTTGCACATGTGCGTTTGCAGTCGCGGACCCGCCCTTATATGAAAACCCCGTGATCCACCCTTTTTCCAAGCAGTGTGTGACACATTTCATTGTCAGACTGCTGAAACGCTGAGAACGGCTCTTTTTTCTTGTTCTTTTTTTGTTTTTCTCTGACACCTGTGCACTCCTTGCAAGCTTGTTTGGTCAAAGCACGACGTTCTGCGAGTTGAGATCACAGCTGGCCTGAACAAATATCGTTGGAAGCACGTTTCATAGAAGCCCAAAGCCAGAACCTTCGGAAGAAGCTTGGTTTGCAAACAAGTGGTTGTTGTTTCAAAAGGGTCCGTTAGATTTTGGTTTTGCTGGAGTGTTTGTTTGGCATGTAAACAGCCAGCGGCATGACAGTGGATATTTTGGCCTTTTGCAGGCAGCCCAACAAATGACACCGGAAAACATTCGATACGTTGGCTTTCTTTGTTCGAAATCAGAGAGAATAAAGACATCCATGGGAAAAGTAACAAACACAGTTTGAAAAAGTTGAGTATGCGCTTGCTTTTGCATGCTGGCCTAAAACCGAAGGCCAAGATGACACACCAGATTTTGGTTTGAGTGGTAGCTTGCCACCAAACCGAGCAAAACAACTGGAAGTGAAGAAGCGCGTCAAAGCATCAGGGAAAAGCAAGGCAGGCGGCCATTGCGCCACCCCCGCGAGAACTGTCAATCGCAAAAGCGCGGTTTTGGCATGACCTGCAACAAGCAACTTTTCCTTTTGCGTTTGTCGCTTCCACCCCCTTTGCTTTCAACCTGTGGGGGACTGGCAGGCACTTTGGGGCTCAAAATCAAATCATGGCCACGAAGGAGTGGATCCGCGCAAAAGGCGGGAGTGTGAGCAATGAGGAGAAAGATCAGGAAATGGAAGCCGAGTCAAGCAAACAACAGAATGAAGACAAGGCACCGACATCCCAGACGAGACGGCCAAAGAAGTCAAGAGACAGAAGCGGAACACGCAAGAAGAAACTGAGACGCAACGGCACATGATGGATCTCCAAATATCTCCAACAAACCGTGCAGGAGCTGGAGAAGCAAGCCGTGGACCCCACGCACAACATACAACATGCAAACAACGAAGAACGAAGAGAAGTGGAAAGACAGACTGTGGCCAAAGGATGGCCCAAGGAGTCAGAAGAGATGAAGTGACTTACGAAATGAAGTTGGCTCAGTGGACCAGATGAATGCCACATGAATGGGCCCTGCAGAGGGGGCCGAGACCATGCGAATCGGTAAGAAGGAACTAGGTGCGAAAGGACTCGAGCGCCCCTCCTTCACACATCAGAAACCATGGGGACAACAGGAGCAAACTTCCATTGCGGAACTAGGTCACGACGGTTTGGTCGCCTGGCTTCAAACTGGTCCGTCACATGCGAATCACTCTAGAGATTCAAACACACATGAACGCGGTTCATTTCAAGGCCTTTGAAAACTAAGTACGCAGCAGCATTTTTTTCACTTGCTACACCTTCTGTGTTTTACCAGGGTTGCAAACTCATGCAAGAATTCCATCGGAGTGCCTTTGCCTAGCCGCACCGCCACACGTACTGCATCACACGGAGCTTCAAGTGCGGATTCACAGTCGAGCCATGCTTTGTTTTGATTCGCCTATGAAGATTGGAAAAGACAAAGCTCTTCATGCCCAGCCAAGCGCGGTCGATTTGCTGCGTGCCAGCTATTTGGCTGAGCTTTCGAGGCACAATCTCCCGCAGCTCTCGCACAAACTCTTTGTGCTGGTGCTTGACTGCGTAGTTCTGGATGTTGAGCATTCTAGCCGCCTTGCCCCAAGCCAGCGCGCCGTCACTGTAGATGGCTCGGCTGCCTCGCTTGGATACCCGGCCCAGCAACCCTGAGCTCTGGATGTCTTGCCAGCTTTCGCCTGGAGGCCTGCTTCCAGGTAGTCCCACCTGGCAAGGCTGCTGACAGCTGCGACAAGTGTGGGCAACTTGTTCACACGTTCACCAACAAAACATGTTGCAAACCAATGTATGTTAAGCGAACCCGCGCCTTGGGCCGCAGGAACTTGCATATGAAGGACCCGTCTCTCTGCTTCATGCCCAGGATTCTCACAAAACAAGGATAGGCTTTGTACTGCTTGCCTTTTTTCTTTTGCACTTTCTGAAGCTGGTCAGCGTAGAGAGCATTGGAGCGCGACACCCAAAAGCGCCCCAAGCCAGTGCAGTCTGCCTCAATGCAGCCAGTCAAGGTTTGCTGCGAGGAGTACTTGGCACCAGCTTCTGATTCCAGTTCAGTGCAAGTGGACAAGAAGTGCCAAGCTTGCTTCTGGCCTATGTGCGAGCTCTGCACCATGTCATCCAGCCTCAGAGGCTTCATCAGGTCTGGAGAGGCGTAATGGCACAGCAGGCGGGCCAGAGTGGTGGGGAATGGCGTCCAAGAAAGGCACCCTTTTCTGACACTGCCAGCGCGGGCACCGCCAAAACCACCACGGACGCCTGCCTTTCCGGACAGAGCTCCAAGGACCTTGGAGGCCTTTGCCGCCGCACTCGGGACAAGTTTTGTGCTTCCTCACAAAGCCGGTCTTGCAGAGCCATTCCACTGATTCATCATCGTCTTTGCACGCAAACAGCGCATTGCCCACAAGCCTGCGAGGGCGTTTGTCTGACGGGCTTTTAGAGCCTTGGTACTTGATCCGCGCTGCCTCTTATGTTTTCTTCCTTTGCTGGCATGGTTGCTGTCATCCTTGAACTTGTCTGGCTTGGGAGCAGCAGTGCCTTCTTTCAGCTGTTGCCGAAGTCTCTTCACGAGCCTCGCCCCCGGTAGAAGGCAGCTTTCAACTCTGTGCCCAGCTGCCCCGCAAACACTGCAGTGCACAGTCCTTCCCCGCCTCTGACGAGAAGAGGCCACGGACTTGCGTGGCATGCGAAGCAGCCTACAGCACGCAAGAAAGCAGGACAGCCTGAGCCAAAACTACATGATGCAAAGCTCGAATCAACACTCGGAAAGCTCGAATCAACACTCGCAATGCTTAGTGGCTCGCGCAAACATTTGAAATGCTTTGCAGGTTGCGCTTTTTGTCAGCAGGGCTATGTTAATCCTGTGTCATTTCGGAGCAGCGCGGTTGCGCTGGAAGCCGGCCCACAAGCATTCATACTCTTCTCGAAGGTGCTTAGGGAAGTCTCGAATCTGCTGCTGCGAGGCCATCTTAAACCACCAGCAAGACCGTCTGCCATCATCCCCTGTTTTCCAGAAGCGGTTGCATAGCAAGACAGCTCGACCAGCGTTGCGTCCGGAAGCAAAGACATGCGGTGAGAGGGCACTGTGATGTGGGCAGGAGCCCCATCGAAACTGGCGGGCCGGCCTGTCCGACACTGCCTGCGCCAGCCTTGTTGACAGAGGCGGAGCCTGCTCGGGCATCTGTCCCAGAGAGCCAGAAGATCCCGCGCTCTGCGGATGCGCGGCAGCCAGTAGATCATGTTTCCGTCGCTTGGACGCAGGGCTGTCTGCATCTTGCACCGGGCTGACGGTAGCATCTGACGGTGTTCCCGGAGCCATGTTCAGGGCATCTGACGAATCCCCGAGCCTCTGAAGCTGTGTGCTCCCACAAGCTGTGCGGTCTGGCGTGTCTACACATATCACGCCTTGCAATCGATCAAAAGCGCGAGCAAGAATCCAAAACTTGAATACATGGCCGGTTTCTCCGCGGGGGCGTGGCAGCCATTTGAGAAACATCCAACAAGCCTGCCAAAGGCTGCCCACGAGCCATTCGCCATCCCAGATAGCACATGCTTGCGGCCACGTGCTGGCCCAAGAATGGTGTGCGGTGCAGATATTCAACCCACTGGCATTGAAGCACCTGCGAGTGTTTCGTGAGCATGGAATAAGGCAGAGGTGACCTGATCTCAATCAAAGACGTTTGCTGCACAAAGCCCAACACATCATCCTGCAGAGGAGAACCGCAAATCACCTGTAGTGGCCAAAATCAGACTGGAAATGAACTATTTCAAAACCCCTGAAAAAACACTTTGTGACATCGTGA